TCAAGATTAATTGCTCAAATAGGGTGAAATTGTCTTAGGTCGCCATGCACTCCGGGCGACTTTGTAGGTCGCCATGCCCTCCGGGCGACTTTGTAGGTCGCCATGCACTCCGGGCGACCTACCCTCGCTCGGCTTCCCTCGGATTCCCTCGCATATCTCGCTCAGTTACCCTCGCATAGCTCGTTCGGATGACCTCGGTCGGGTGGCCTCAGATGCTCTCGGATGACCTCGGTCGGATGACCTCGGTTGGATGGCCTCGGATGCCCAGCGTGTTGGAACGTGCATGGCACATGCAATCTATACTTATGTGGATTTCACCTTATTTGAGCAATTAATCTTGGGAGTGCTTTACCTCGTGAATTAATTTTTTCCAGAACATTATCTCGAAAGTTTTGCCGTATATAATTAATTAATTAATTATGTGGAATGTTTTTGATGGAGACAAGTAGAGAGGACGAGCAGTGTTTATGAGGTAGCTACAGCTCCTCTCTAATTATTTCAGGGTTTTGGCAGATTGCATAAATGAGCATCTTTACTACTTCAATCAGTGTGTCCCATATCTGGAAAACCATTTGAATCATTTTCACATGCCAACTAATATACATACATACATATTATGAACATTCAAATAATACTAGATATTATGAACATATTTTTTTTATTTAAATTGAATTTGTGTAAAGAGTTGTAAGAAAAATATGAGATGAGAAAATGTAGGAACGTAAAAATTAATCTCTTAATTGAATTTTTGTGATATAAATACAGGAATGAAATTGTAAAATAATTAAAAAAAATACCATCTACTAAACCTATTTACATCACCTTTCATGCTCAACCATAGAAATGATCTTTCACCATTTTTCCTTCAAAATTTTTACAAATTACTTTCCTCTTAAAAGAATGAAAGTTTTAGAAGTTTACTCTTTCATAGTGTAAACAACTTTTCCCATAGGGTATGTTTAAATACGTAACATCTTCCTTTGTTTATTTCTTCTTCTCTGTTTTCTTCCCATTCACAATTGGCATTCAATTTAGAAACATAACGGAGAAAGTTAAGAAATGAATGGTTACGTGCACAAACCAAAATGTATGTATCAACAAACCTAATGAAGTGGAAGAGCGTATCAAGAAATGAATAATTATTTGCATAAAATGGTAGAGTCCCACGTGGTATTGAGCGTCCCTCATGCAGCTCTGGTGGAGGTTGGTATGGTGTATACGATATGATTGTAAAGAATCGATTACGTATATGTATGTCCAATGTATTTGCATCATAGTCTGAATAAGATCCATAACGTTGAGATACCAGTCAGCTAGGTTTTAAAAAATTCTATGAAAATTCCATTATACTCGTATGTATATACAAAGATGTGCAAAGAGAGATGAATTAAAAAAAAGGCTATGAAAATCTTATGCGAAAACAGGAGATTAAGTCGGCATCCCCATATTGTTTGAATACAGTTTATTATTATAGCTTTTATTCAAGAACTGATCCCACAAGTAGCCTTCTAACGACCGACAGAGATCGGGCTGCCGCTTAACCCCAAAGGAGACCGACGAGAAATCTGTCGTCGGGAAATCTCTCTAAGAACAGGTCTCATCTCAGGCTGTCCAGGCGACCAGTCGATGATTTGCTCCGATTCCTGCTTTATTTTGCTAACTTGGCTGTGAATTGCAACACTGCTCATGTCTTCTTTTCCACTGAAATTACTGTCGTCGTCGTTGTTCAGCTCCATCTGTGCTGCTTCAGTTCTTAACAAAAAACCACACTCAAATCTCTACGTCTTGATGCCGAAAAATATATCAATCGTAAGAGATATATATACACACACAGGGAGAGGGAGAGATTGTGGAGGAAAAAGGATAGAGATGGAGCAGTAGGGCCTATGCAGACAGGGCAGGCAAAGACTGAAGAAACTTAGAGGAACAAATACCATTGACCATGTTCAAATGATTTTTTTATTATTTTCAATTAGAAAAAAAAAAGTTTGGTATAATTTCATATAAAAATTTCCACTATACTCCGCATTGCATTTTAATCCCTATTTGAAAAATAAGCAAATGAATCCCTATATGTTATAAAAAGGAATAGCTTTTAGTAAAACCTCTTTGTTCATAATCTTTCTTAATTATCGACTACAAACATATCATGCATACTTAACTGTCGAGCTTAACACTTTAAAATAAAATAACACTTCTTATTAAGATCATTCAATAAATTTATAACTAAGTTATTTTTTTGAGTAAAAAGAAAAAACTATTCCATATATATTAATTTATTAGTCTATTTAAAGCTTAGGGTAGTTGAATAAGATATATATTCTTTAAAACAAATCTAGACAAGTTCCATATCAGACGATTTGTCATTAAACTATTAATTAAATCTACGTTTTTCTTTTTGGAATTGACTTTATATTGTTTTATGTATTTTTTTAATTGGCGACGACACCAATTTTAATGTTAATTATTGACAGTTAATATTTTTTAGAGAAAATAACCTCAGTGACAAAAAATGCCTTATAATATACGATTTTAACCAATTTTTTTTTGGATTTGTCAAAATGACCAACTAAATCGCAATGCGATCGATAATTCGCAACGCGATCTCCGGTATCGCAAATCAGTTTCTAGATTCGCAACGCGAACTTCGACTATCGCATTGCGATTTACATATCCGCATTGCGATAGTCCAAGTTCGCGTTGCGATTTATTCCAAATTCGTTGCGATTTATTCCAAATTCGTTGCGATTTATTCCAAGTTCGCGTTGCGATTTATTCCAAATTCGTTGCGATAGTCGAAGTTCGCGTTGCGATTTATTCTAAGTTCGTTGCGATAGTCCAAAATCGCAACGACGATATTGCATTTGTTTCTTAAGAATTTTCTCTAAAAAGATAGTATCCCACATAGTATTGGAAACACTATTGGGAATGGTATTTAAGGCATGACTTTCCCACTTCTTTGTTGAGTGATAGAGAACAAGGGGGACTCTCGCGCGCCGCCGCCGCCGTCCGTCTCGGGTCGTGGTTGTGGTCCTGGTCGTGGTCATACGTGTCTTCGACACGTCCGCGCGAATACTATCTTTTTAGAGAAAATTCTTAAGAAACAAATGCAATACCACCAGTCGTTGCGATTTTGGACTATCGCAATGCGATAGTCGACTATCGTAATGCGAACTTGGACTATCGCAATGCGAATATGTAAATCGCAATGCGATAGTCGAAGTTCGCATTGCGATTTACATATTCGCATTGCGATAGCCGACTATCGCATTGCGATTTACATATTCGTGTTGCGATAGTCGAAGTTCGCGTTGCGAATTTGGAAACTGATTTGCGATACCGGAGATCGCGTTGCGAATTATCGATCGCATTGCGATTTAGTTGGTCATTTTGGCAAATCTAAAAAAAAATGGTTAAAATCGTATATTATAAGGTGTTTTTGGTCAATGAGGTTATTTTCTCTATTTTTTATTGTTCTTTTATTTTCAATAAGTCTACATGTATAACATGTTTTCTTCTATTTTTTGACACATTTTTCGATCTTTTGACCGTTGTTTTCGTTTATCATTTTTAATAATCAAACTATATTAAAATATTAGTGATTTCTTTCTGGAATTGACTTTATATTGCATACAAAATTTATTTTTAATAATCAAACTATATTAAAATATTAAACTCTTACTTTACATATTAATATTCACAAATTATAATTGAATTTTAAAATCATTCAAGTCAAATTAAAAAAGAATAATTAATAATTTATTGAAATTGAAATTAAATTTATCAAATCAATCGAATTTAATATTAGTGCACTTGCATTTATTAAGTGATCTTAATGTTTAAAGAGAGTGTTATTATCCCTAAAAGTCTTAAATACAAATAATTGCGTCAATTAAAAAATTCTAAATAGATAATACTTTATAATCATACAAACTAATAAAAAAAAAATATTAGTATTAGATGGCATGACAAATCCTACGGAAGCATGTAAGATTAACAAAAATCTAAGTTGGAACCGAGCTCAGTGAATCCTGTTGATATTGAATTCAACGGTCAAGATTTCAAAGGGCTGCGTTGCAAATGACTATTCTAATGAAGCAGGCATTTCAAATTACATGGTAGGTTTTAGGCGGTTAGACTTTCAAGTTGGGGGTGTTCCCTTTGTCACGTGGCACTCCACTCGTCACCCTCTTGTCACCCACGTTGCATCATCCTCAAGTCTCTTTTCTTATGTTAATTTTGATTCTGTTTTATACTTATCATATTTTTTTACACTTAATTATGATTTATATAATCTAAGATTATATGAATTCATATTTATATAATCTTATTTATCGATTTTTATTGAAAGTATAGTATATATTGAACAAAATTCTTTTATAATTTTATATTTATCAAATAATTATCTTTATAAATAAATAATAATAATAATTAAGACTCTTGATTAAATCTTAGATACCGACATAAACTTCTTCTAATTTTAAAATTATAATAAATTTATCTCCTTCATTTTTTGAATTTTTCTTTTTGAGAGTTTTTACATAAATTGTATGTTCTTACAATTTGTTTTTCTTTATCATCATTTATTTGTTGTTATTTCATGGTGACAACTTAATTAATTTGTAGGTTCAATCAAAGGAAATTAGTATACATATAATCTACATTGTTTTAAGGTGATTCCCATCCATACGTCGACGAAGGAGAATGGTGTTTCTTGTACACAAAAACATAAGAGACATCAAAGTTGTCTCTTACATCTTATCCAAATACATATAGAAATGATGAAATCTCCTATAAAAATTGATGGTTGTTAAATGATGGAAATTCTAAATTTAGTTAAGGGTGATGAAGAGAAGGAAATATAGAATGGGCACAATCTCAACATCAATATATTCTTTATTTTTTTCCATAATTTATATGATAATATGAAAGGGATCTTGGACAATTTAGATTTATAATGCAACATGTTTGATGTGTTCTAAATTTATTTTAAATCATATCGATATGAGAAAATGGATGAAGCGAATTCAAATGAAGATATGATCGAAGTACTTGTGATCAGTGCACAAAATGGCAAAGGTATGTTATTCCCTAAAGGTGGGTGGGAACATGATGAATCTATGGAAGAGGCGGCCGTTCGAGAGACGCTCGAAGAAGCCGGTGTTGTTGGCAACATCGAAGTTAGTACATGTATATCAACTCTTATTATTGTTATTCCTCTATTTTTAACACTACCCTTTTGTTGTTTTAACAGTGCAAATTAGGGAAATGGTCGTACGAGAGCAAGAGGCGAAGTGCTTTCCATGAAGGCCACATGTTCGAGAAAAACACCCGGACTAGGAAATGGGTACATAACACATCCTAATTTCTGTTTTATCATTCTAATCATCACCAATAATTGTTAGTCTTGATTTGACATAGAACATATTTAAATTTTCATCGAATTTTAAGCACCTTTTTATTTATTATATGAATAGTACGAATACAATATGTTATATTAAAATGATATATGATACACGTACATCCATTTAAAATTAATTCATATCAAATTTAAGTTGGTATTAAACTCTTAAAATGAATATTAGACAGAGACAGGACTACGTTATAAGTCATAACCCTTCCAACTTTAATGGTTTAATTTCAGTTATGACTGTATCCTAGTGCTAGATGTAGTTAACCTAAAAGGTCTACACAAATGTGTGTAGGTAACAATCTCTAAAGCTAAAGAAGAGTGCCCACATTTGTGGATGAGGGAAGCTTTAGAGGAGTTGGGTACATAACAAATGTTTGTTTCTTTGGATTTGTGAGATATATAATTCAACCTAGCAAGCCACTTCCACTATAGGATACTTCCACCTGCTTTTCCTTACATTCTTTCTCACGGTGCCAACAAATTCTTTCAAGAAACACGAAAGATTGAAATCTCATCTACAAACATTTTTTCTTTTTAAATGTAAAAAATTGTATTTATTCGTTGAGTTTTATATAACTATGCATATGCATATATATATTACTTCAATTCACGTTACAAACAGATTTAAACTAACTCTAAATGAATAATTTTTTCACACCTAATTAACTGATGTTATCCAAAAACTTAATAATGGTATATGAAAATATACGTTAGACTTACAACATTTATCGAATCTAGTAATACTTAATGGTGCTATCTTAGGATATACACTTTTTTACTCGTAACTGTATTTTTACTTTTTTTTCTTTATAGTTATTACATTGTATAAAAATTAGATAAAAGCTAATAGAATAATAAAAAAAATTAAATGAAATTAATATATGAATTTAATGTCATAAAATAATTTTTTAATTTTAAAACAATATAGAGTAATATTTGAAATTTGACATATTTAAATATTTATTTTTGGCTTAATGCACAATTTCACTTTCAAAGTATATATATATTTCCAATTGGCATCATGTTTTTCATTTAATTTACTCTTCAAAAAATTATTTTTGTCTTATTTTTCTCTGAATAAAAGGATGACCAATAACAATATGCAATGTGATATGTTATTATTTGATGTTGCCAATTTATTGGATAAAAATGATAGTTTAGAGACAAATTGGGTTAAAAAACAGTTTAGGATGCAAAATGAGAAAATATTATATTTCAGGGGCTAAATTATGAATACACCAAAAGTTTTTCTTAAATAACTATATTCCCTTGCCTTGTAACACAAACCTTTTTTAGACTGTTTTACTTTGAGATAGACGGAGGCTGTCACAATGGCCACCGTCAGCGTCGGTAGAGACCGTCTTTTCGCTGCTATCGGCAGGTCTTATAGCGAGTTTCTAAATTACTAACCTCATATTTTCCCCTTTTTTCGGATTTTTATTTTAGCATCTAACGGAATTAAAAAAATTGCTCAGCTCAAGAAGAGTTTGACGATCTGTGTTTCAGTTTCGGGATCGAGCTTGACGATGTGGTGAGTGTATTCTTACGATTTTTCATTGGAAAACCGTGGATATCTATTTTTTTTTTTTTGAAAAAAATGGGTCTTGCTACTGTGAACCAGACAACTGAGAAAGCGATAATTTCGAAAGAGAAGAATTTGGAAGAGGAAAAACCTAGTGCTGATGATGAAATCATTTACAAGATTGAAGTACCTGCTAACAGGATTCCATTGCTTATCTTTATAAGATTTTATTTGTTAATTCGATAGAACTGAACAATGTATTGTTGTTAGAAGCTGCCTTATTCCTTATAGCAATTTTGTTGCTTCTCGAATATTGCTTATGTGTTCACTCTTAATTTTATTAAGACCATCGTTTAGGTAATTGTTAGATTCCCTTGCAAAAATAGTTTCAACTTTAGTTTAACTAAGTTGGACTGACCTGGAAATTGGAGAGAATTACGTGGAAGGAAACCGCATAGTTTTACTCGTATTTTTGGTTTCTAATTTAAGTTGATTTAATAATAAAAAAAAGTAGAAATGTTAACGAAGGTTTTCTTTACAGGTATGACTTTTCAATGAGCAGGAGAAGATACCTAGATACACAGTTGCAAAGATTTGTAAGGAATCAATGCTTAAAATGCATGTGAGAAAAGAGGTAATTTTGAAGGTTGAAAAATTGTTTTCGGGTATTGACATTCTTTAGGGTTTTACTGATACCTTATTCATTTCCCTTTCCTTGCAGACATCTCTAATCCGTCCCTTTGTTGTTTGTGCGGTTTTGAGGGACATAACTTTTGATGAAGCTAGCTATAACAGCTTCATTGATCTCCAGGATAAGCTGCACCAAAATATCTGCAGGTTTAATTTGAACCTGCAAAATAAAGTAGCATGAGCTGTAAAAATATGATTGATTGCTTTTTTTTAATATCTTATGGAAAAGGGGAATATTTACATGCATTAATCAAAGTCTGAATGGCTATAGTTTTGTTTCAGTGCTTGGGGGTGTTATGTGGTTTATTACACTTTGGGTTGGACCTTTGTTGGCATGACAGGGAGGGGTGAAAAGTAATAAAAAGGCGGAAACTGTGCACACATTTTGTTATAAAGCAATATGCATCAGCCATCAGTTTCTTCATGTATAGAAATTTAATTAGAGAGACTTTGTGTTTGGTCCAGTGGTATCTGCACTCAGCTGTTGAAATGCATCTTTTGAAATGAGCATCCATTTAGAATTGTTCCAGAACAGAAACTGATATCAATTGGGGAGTAGGATTCTTGCTGTAAAGTATATTTGATAACACTTTACTGTTGTAATATTTTTGATGTAGACAAAGACAACTTCTGTGTTTTGTCACCATAATTCAAAAATGATAAATCTAGAAAGAATTTACAATTCTGGAAAATGAAACTGCCAAAATGAGGAAATGACTGCTAATGTTGAAATGTTACCCTCAAACTTGTTTATAGTAACCTTAAATTTATGTAGTGTTCGGAATTTTTTTCTTCCATTTTCGACTTCTTAAGTGTTGATGGCTTTGAAACTTTCTAAAATAAGTATCCAATTATTATTGTATAAAGGTTTTGCCTTTTTATTTAAGTTGTCTTGCTTACATTTACTTATTCGTTTAGGAAGCGGACCTTAGTTGCTATCGGGACACATGACTTGGATACATTACAAGGGCCTTTTACATATGAGGTGGGCTTCCTAATAGTCTAATTCTTATTTATAAATAATCTCTTGGAATTTTTTTATGGATTAAAAAATGGTGGCCATAAAATAGTTGAAGATGCTTTAGATCCTCTGTTGGAGATCAAACCTTGGGGGGGGGGGGGTGAAGGAAAGCTTCAGCCCAAGGCTGAAATCCAGTGCCTATTGTTAATTTGGTCAAATAATAACCTGCGCAGTAGATAAGGGATCTTTTCATTTTAGTATTTTTGTTGGCTGACAGAGGTGTATTTGTTATTTGTTTGTTTATTTTGCATCTGCCCGGTTGTTTATGGTCAAGTTGGCAATGTTGGGAATAATTGTTCTCTGGCTTGTTAATTGATAGGGTAATAGTTTCAATTAATATAGGTTGCTCAAACTTCTTCAAGTTGGCAATGTTAGCAATAATTTTTTTTCTATAGTTTGTTAATTGATAGGGTAATTGTTACAGTCAGTATAGTTTGCTCAAACTTCTTTGGTTCCTTTTTGTTTTTCTCTTCCTTACTATGTCAAAGTATCAACAGAAGATGTACTTTTTGATAAGGAATTATGGAGCAAATGTAAAGTTTGCTTTAATAATTTAAGATCTAGTAATCATGCAGCCTTACTAACTTCTGACTATCACATTCTAACTTCTAAGCAATTATTTAAATATTTGTAGGCCCTGCCACCTCCGGAGATAAATTTTGTTCCATTGAAACAGGTATTATTGTTTTCTGATGGATACTATTTTCCATGTACACATTGACTAGATTATCTGTTGTTACCTTGCCACTTTAATTTCTATATGATCAAGTTTTTAGGAACTTAGTTTATACTAGAGAGAAAATGATTATTATTGTTTTTTTGTTAACTTTTAGCGTTTTCAGTCGGAAATTTATTACTGAATGCTCAAGATGATCTTGCTTCTATTATTATTAAAACAGCTAAGGCCCCCCTTTTTTTAAGGTATTATTTGAATTTAAGAACTGTTTATGGAAATATTTGCCTTGCTTTAAACTCTTGGCCACATAATGCTTAGATATTTTAGGAACAAAGCTTCTTAAGGGTGCCTTTCTGTTGAACTACTGTGGTTTTCAGGGATTGCAGTTAGTCTTTACTCTTTACTTTAGTGCTCTTTTGTTGATCATCTGCACACTTCTACTCATTTGAAACCTTTTCCTATGTCCTTGGAGCAAACTGATTTCCCTGGAATTGGTCTTTTTAATTTAGGTGAAGAACTTCAGAGCTGATGAGCTCATGGAATTTTACAAGGTAAATCTTCACAAAGCTTATTTGTTGTGCTTACCTGCGAAGTTGTTTTATTAAGCAATCAGTATCTTGGTACTTCTGTCTGTACCTTCTGCACTTGTTTCTCCTAATTTTTAGATAGGATTTGACTACATATATTTCAATGGAGGGTTATAATAAATATGTTCTACTAACACGTAACAGTCAGATTTGAAGTTGAAGAAGTTCTTGCACATTATTGAGAATTCAAGTGTGTTCCCTGTCATTTATGACCGTAACAGGTAAGGGTGTTCTTGGTACTGTGCACCTGATTATTAGTTTTAGCCTTTGTGTTTAGTAATCAATTTCACTTTTAACTTAAAGCTGCTTAACCTTCTGCCGATATTTGCTCCTTTTCAAGTGTATATTTGTACAGTATGTCTTGTTAGGTTTAAAAATACTGAAATTCAGCTTGATGACCTTTCTGTTTTTCTTGTCTTTATGCAGAACTGTTTTGTCTTTACCGCCAATTATTAATGGTGCACACTCAGCAATCACTTTGAAGACAAAAAATGTCTTCATTGAGTGCAAAGCAACTGATCTAACAAAGGCTAAAATTGTTTTAAATACAATGGTAAGGAGTTGAGTGCTGTTAGCTTCTGGCCTCACCATTATAAGTGGTGGTAAGAATGAACATTTCTTTCTATCTACAGGTTACCACTTTTTCTACCTACTGTAAAAGGAAACTTGAGGTGGAACCGGTTGAAGTCATATCATTTGATGGAAACTCAAGTGTTTATCCAGATTTATCAGAATATAATATGGAAGTTCCACTATCATATATTACTGGTTCCATTGGAGTTCCTATGGAAGTAGATGAGGTAATGCTTCCATTTTCTTTATGTCTCTTATTTCTTTGTTATCTTTTATGTTATCCATATAGTTAAAATAATTGTTTAATGGAGTTCCACTCATGTTGGTCTGTTTTGATATTTCTATATGTTGTAAACTGGTATGGTTGTCTGAGTTTGTTCACCGAACTGCTCACTTATATAAAGGTGAGGAATAGCATTGAGTGAGGTTACATTAGTCTGATATGGTAATGGTCAGTGTCATGTATTTGTTTGTTTTGATGGCATCATTGGTGGCATTCTATTGCTAGCATTGTTCAGTTTATATGGTTTCATAACCAGAATGTTGTAGCTATTCTTAATATGTTCTTCCATTGTTGTCACTAAAAAGGTCACTAATCTATTAAAACGAATGCAATTGAATGCTGAAAAAGCAGGATCAGGTACTTCCTATATCATTGTGTCTGTACCTCCAACCAGAAGTGACATTCTTCACCCATGTGATGTTATGGAGGTAATGATCGAAGGAATAGTATTTCACGGATGCATTTTTGAGGGGGAGGTTGTTGTGCACCTCCCTTGTGGGTTTCTGTTAATGAGGCTCTTTATTCTTGTTCCGAATGTTGCAATTGCTTTTAGCTATAATAATATACCAAAGAGAAAGCTTTCATCTTTGAAGCCCCTCAGCTTGAACCAGCTCAGTGATCTTATAAGATCTGAGGTGCCTGAATACACCGAAGTAGTCTTTTTTATTGTAATTTTTTCTATGCCCTAATTGAGTTTCTTTTTAGATATCCATAAATGGGTCTATGGAGGTGTTGACATGGATTTTATGTTCTAAGAAATAATATTTTGAGATGTTAAATCGGAAGGATGACAAATCCACTGCTGTGGTCATTGGAAATCCCCGCTCTTCTGATTTTGAGGTTTGTATTTTCATGTTAGAATATATGTATAATATTATTTCAACATTTCAGCTTTCTGGGTTCCTCCCTACGTGTCTGTGCCAGAGCTGTAATCTTAGACTGCTTGAGAACTAGTATTAGTTTTTATGATTTTGTTCAACCTTTTTTTTTGTCAAGACTTCTTGAAATATTGTGCATGGCCTTATTTGCTACAATCAAATTTATTTTTGAAATGACTGGTACTGCTAAAATCGAACAGACAATTGAGGAGCCCATTGTTGCTCTCTATAGATAAGTGATAAACATTTGGTTTATTTGAAGGATGAGGGGGAAAAGGACAAGAAAAAAAAAGAAATAGGAATTTGCTGTTCTGTTTTTTTTTACTGGAAGCCTTTTATCGAAACTCCTAATTGAAGATTTCTTATTCTGTTTGCATAGGTGGTTCGTACAAGTCTCATGCCTGGCATGCTAAAGACCGCTGGACATAACAAAGACCATCCAAAGCCCATAAAGGTACAGTTTTGGTTTTGACTTGTTCAGGTTGAAACACTTGCAGAATTTAGTATTATGGATTTACTTTTTTGTATTGTGGCACCTTCTCTAATTTGTGTTTTTTCTGTTGCACATCTTTCATTGGAAGATGGTCCGTTCTGATTAAAAGCCCTTGGTCTTCTGTTCTGTTGGCATCATTATTTCTTTTGAAAGACTGATGTTGGTATATGGAGGGGGACATATTTGTAGATATTCTTATGTTAGTTGAACCATTCTTTCATTGAGAGCGTCAGTCTTATACATTCCATGTCTCATCCTCTCCCAACAGGTGTTCAATAATGAACATGGGAATGCAAAAACGTTCCTGTCTATTATTTTACTATTATTCACTTGTTTTGCTTCTCAAATTTGACTTCATTCATCTTAATTTATACGATCACCCCTGCTTTTATATTTTGCTCATTTTTTTGGAAACTTTCACATGTCCAGATTTATGAAGTGGGTGATGTAGTACTTTTGGTTGATAAGAAAGATGTTGGTGCATCAAACCGTCGCCTACTTGCTGCGTTATATTGTGGTGCTAACTCAGGCTTTGAAGTAAGATTTCCTTATTATGCCCGCTTGTTTTTGAATTTGATGACTCCATGCATTGATTTATTGTAGTCTTTAATTGCCAATTCTTGTTTCTGTAAGGACTGAAAAAATCTTTATAAAGTTGGTTATGGAAATCTTTAAATGATCAGAAATGACTTTCTGGTTCACTTGATCTTGATGGGTCATCCAACCCATAGAAGTTGGCGGTTTGTTGTAAAAAATCTGCTTCTTTGCTCTGTTCTAAAACCATGGTTAATTGTGCATTGTTTTTGAAGTTTTGTTTTATTACATGATGTAGTACATCGTTGAAGATTTCACAATTTTTGCTTTGTTATTTACGGGGAATGTACTAATGGTATGGATAGTCCAGAAAGGGAATATATGGTGTTCTGCAAACTATGAGTGTTGTTCAATTGTGTGTTCCTTATGCGTTGACTGAACTTAATGAAATAAGGACTTCTTGTCTACAGCTGATTCATATCCTGGTGGACAGAATCATGGAAGTTATGGGGACTCCTTTTGTTCTTGTCGGTGATAAATCAGGATACTATATAGAGCTTTCTGATGCAAGTGTCTAGTTCTTTTTTCTCTATCCTCTTCTGTGCACGAGAGGGAGGGAAAGGACACGAAGGAAAAGACATGTTCTCCAACCATACTTCTAGTCAAGCTGTACTTAATGCATTTATGTTTACTGTAGGAACCCGAATTTCTATCGGGTAGGCAAGCCAAAATCATTTACAAAGGAAGGCGCATCGGCATTTTTGGTATCGTGTACCCTGAGGTATTGTTCTCAATATAAGAACCGTTGTGGTTTGAGGTTTTGTGTTCCCTTGATTCTTTTTCCAACCTTTTGTCAATTCCATATTTGTACATAGAGATGATTTTTGCTCCGTGTTGGTCTCCTCTTCTGTATTCTTACATATTAAAACGAATACTCAAAGCTACATCAGTAACAAAATATACATGACTTGAGATTGAAATTCCATGGTAAGATATACGTATCATATACATAATATATATGCTATTCGGTCATGTGGTGTGCAGGTGTTGAATAGTTTCGATATTCCAGATCCCTGCTTCTTCTTGGAACTTGACATTGAGAACTTTTTATAGGACATGGTTCGTGTCAGCTGAAGTAAGTTTGCATTTTATCTTTTGCATGTTTTTACGACTGAAGATTCCAGTTTTATTATTATTCCCTCGTAACAGCCTTTATTTATTTGCTTTAGAGTTTTATGTTTAAAGTACACCAAAGGGTCACTGAACTATGTTCGAATGAACTTTTTCGTCACTGAACTTTTAAAAGTTATAAATTTGTCGTTAAATTTATCGAACGAGAGTCATTGCGACATTATAATAATAATAATAAGTTAAATAAATATTATGACCATTTTGTACTGTTCAACAATTTTAATGACTACCAATTTTTTGCTTATTGAACAAACAGTTAGACCGGCTGCAGTTGTACTTGGCAAATTTGAGTACTGTTTTTTTTTTGGCTAATTTTTTTAGACAACAGCATTGAAATACTTCCATGTTTGGTAGTTTGCTATAGATTATGTTGTTTTACTTCAAAGAAATTACGTTTTGATGGCGCATTTTTTTATTTAAAATCAAAGCACATTAACCGATTTATTAGATAAATATTTTGAACTATAACGTTAACAAAAGCTTCGTGATTATTGAAATTTATGTTTATTAGATTGGGAATGGTAAAGAACTGTTCTTCAAATGCTCAACCAACAGTTCGATTATTTTTTGTTTCTCGAGTTAAGAGGTCATTAAATTCGTTCGTTAATCTAATTGAATTCGATAAATTATGATATTTTCTGCAACGAAGTAGCACAAAAAAAATGAAATGTCAAATCCGACAACGTATTATTAATACAAAAATTATGATTTCAGAGTTCATGATGTGTCTTTTTACAAATCAACTTAGAATATGTAACGAGTTTCATAATTTATCTCAAGAAAACATTTGCTGGAACTAAAAAAGATAACCGAAAACAAAACATATGTATATACGAATACATATATTCTATCTAACTCGACCCAAAGCCTGACATGATTTATAGCAAAAACAAGAAGCCTTAGCGACCCCTAACTGAGGGCTAGTGGAGGACAGATCCAGCAGAACTTAAGCCATCACAAGTTACAGGGCCCGAATCAGCAGATTCCGTATGGCGACATGTTCGATACCCTGGATGTACAACCATAAATATGTAAAGCCTAGCAAACTTGTATATGTAGTGCACCACAAACATTGTTAATTTCCCACTTTTTAACCACACATATATATAACATTATATACATTTAAGATGGATATAAATAAGGGCGTGTATCCAATGTAGTTAAATGTATAAAGTTTAAGTTAGCCAAGTTTATGAAATTCTAGTAAAATTGAATACATTTTTTTTCAAGTTTATGTTTAAATTTAATTATAATTATTTATAATATTATGATACTGATAAGTTCCAACTATAACGGTTCTCTTCAATCATATACTATATCTATATATATTATCATATACTTTTATACATGGGTTATGTGGTGTAAATTTAATAAAAAAATAAATTTAAAATGATAAAAGAATTAAGTAAATAAGAAAATAAGAGATCAAATCACAAAATAATCAAATTATTGAGTTAAAAATGAAAATGATTTTTAATATTTAACTTTTTTTATTATTTAAACTTCATAAATTCAAACCTGAATTTCAAAAATAAATAAAATTGATTTGAATAACTCAAATTATTTTAAAAAATCGATTTTTAGGTGGAATCTAATTTTATTTACCATAATCAACAATGATCAGCATTTCAATAGACATTTAAATAATTGCCAACAAATTGATAAAAGAAAGCAAATACCTTTCTTTGCGCTTCTCTAAAAACCGGGCCAAGGATGCTTTACGAGCTTGCGGCACAGCTACTACAAAAATAAATGAAAAAACAATGGTGAGATTCACGGAAAATGAAAGCAGAGTACACAGTCCATGAAATCAAACAACTAAGAGTTTAGAGAAAGAATACAATAGCTACGGGAGAATCCTTTCCAAAAAAAAAACAAGAGTTTAATACCCTTGGGAATTCGAGTTATCGCTGCAGATCCTACTGAATTCACCGATTTCGGAGGCTCCGGTGGGTTACTAGTAGATGCTAAAGCACCGATTCTTGGGGCAGCTGTTAGTTCATTGGTGCTCCTACATTGTCCACCGGCCTGTAAACTGACATGGGAGGTTACAGAAACATGACTTGGAGGTCCCGAGAAAGAGGACATGGTGCAGAAACTGTTTCTGAAAAAAGCATCGGCAGTAGGTCTTGAATCATGCGTCTGTGTTTGAGTCATGGGAGCTGTTTTACTCTGAGTTGCAGAACCATTTCCAGCCAATAACATAATAGCTTGGGCCTGGATATGGAAGCAAAGAACTAAGTTAATGGTGTCAAGCAGAACATGCTGAATTAATATGGTGTACCTTCTCGGGAGACACATCATCGTACACGAACACAGATCCAGCATAAAAAATAGTCAACTGCGATGGTGCACCGGAAGATTTGGCACTGCCAGCACACCTTCAAAAGGAATTCAACCAGCAGTTTAGGCTAATACTTATTTGAGATTCAATAAAACCACACGGGATACAAGTTTAGATACCTAAGATCAGTAGTGCCAATGATAGAACTTGAAGGAGGTACAACAGATACAGGGGGAGCCATGATTGGAACTCCGGTAAAAGGTTGCGGGTTTACGGTATGACCCACTATATTCTGTGCAGTGGAACCAAGGCGGGGCTGGAGAAGAGGAGTGCTCATGGAAACTGTAATAGTTTGATTTGGCTGGCCGGAGACAGGAAATACCCTCGAGTCACGGGAATGGTGGGATTGGTGTGCCTCACTGTAGTGATTTCCCCTAGTTTCTGTCAGTAATAGGAGGAAAAGAAGAGATAAAAGAAAATCAGTAAACCTGCAATGAAATCATAAGACAACCAGGTCCAAAAGTCCCTGCATATTGAACCAACCTGAGTGGAGCCATATGAATTGGCAGTCGGTATAGCAATGAATCCGGATGCCGGTGGAGGGTCATGAGCAGCCTTCCTCGGCCTATCTTCTTGAGAAGCTTTGAAAGATAGCAGGTGAGGAACTGAAGGTGCCTTGTTTGAGAAAGACAACTGCATCCCTGAGCCCTTGAAGAACAATACTGCAGAAGCAAAAGGAATGGGATATGATTTTCTGTGCTACCTCCAAGCTAATGTTTCGGTTGAAGAAGATCGAATACAATGTTCATGTTCTTGATTGCTAAATTTATATAATAAGGTCAAAACTGTTTGCTTCTTACAATTATTAGAAGTGGAAAGGAAGCACAAAACTAAATAAAAAATGGGTTAATTTGTATTGATATACTAACACGACTTAAATTCATATATTATCACTAAATCATTTTAAAAAATATGAGATAGATATATGAAGCCACAACCACCATACATCATGTCATGAACAATCCAATTCATGTTGTTTCCTTTTAGTAATAGCTACATAAATAGAAAAAAAAACCATTGGTCAGATCACCTATGGCATTGGAATAAATACATTATTCCAATCACATTGTAAATAAATATTTTATTTAATGAGTATTCCCATAAAAAAAATTCAAATCACACGTCATTACAGATAGGCTCTACTTTCCAAAATGCCACATTAGCCTAATAATTTAAGTCCTTGATAAAAACATTATTAAATTATATGAATATTTATTCATGTTTTCTTTAACAGAATATAAGTCTAATTATAATTATAATTTAAAAATTATAAGTATAAATATAATAAAAATCAACATTACATAATATAATTGGATGGAAACTGAATCTATACATAACTAGAAAAAATAATTAGTAGAGCACAACCTAAATTATGTCCTTAGCTGAGCCAAAATAATAATCTGAACATAGATCCATACAAGACGATTGAATAAAGACTTATATATATATAACAAAATAATAATTGAAGTCCTTGACAAGAAGATTATTAAATCATATGAGTACCATCCATGTTAGTTTTATTAACACGCAACCATGTTATCCTGCTACCATACATTTCTAGTTTATCATCAAATTGTCCTTTTCCCAACCCACATTTATTTAATATTTTATCTCAAATGATCTGTTCCAAATATTTTATAAAAATTTTAAAATAAATTATTGACTAATTAGCATTATTATATTTTCTTAATATTTAAGGCTGCTCTTAGATATCACCTAATCGAATCTAACGGGGTAGCAACTTACACACGCCGACATCGTCAACTTTATTAAAAGAATCCTATGATTGCTGTAAAGTAATTGTACCTTGTGCTTCCAGGTATTGTAGACTTATTTAAATGAAAATGACGTTTTGCTCGTGGTATTTCTTATTGGAGTAAAACTTTCCCAGGTTTCGCTTGTTTGGTTACCAAGAAAACGAGTGAGAAAAAAAATCCAGGCACGAGAAGTTTATAAGATTTCAATAGACACCAACTAGGGTTGCGGAGTCTATAAGTTTTGAAATTAAAAAGAAAAACTAATCAAGTTATGAATTAAAAAAGAAGAAGAACCGTACCTGAATCGTTAGGCGCATCAGAGGGCTCTTCCTTGATTGTAATCGGAGCATTTTTTGAGCCCAAACCCATAAAATCTCTCTCCATAATCTCCAAAAGTCAAAAAAAGAAGAGTTGAAACGAACCAAATTAAAAAGCCAATGCTTAGCTTCGTGGAGCAGACAAAGTATGGAGGAGAGGGAAAGCAAAGGAACAAAAGAGGAATATATTATATTAAATGGCGGGGAAGGAAACAAAAATGAGAGTCTGACTTTTAGCTTTAATTAAAAAAACATTTCAATATTAAACTTGGTCCGTTGAAGTGAGGGATGTGCGATTCCTTTCCCTCATATTCGCTCTTTTCTGTTGAAATTTTGTCGTCTTCCAACTCTTTGAATATCTTCGACATGATTAAACCATTTGTATTTGTTTCTCCAGCAACAAAGGTTTCCCCTCATCACCCGCACAATTCTCACAGAGGTTTAATTCTAGCTACCTGAGGGATAAATAATTAAATTTCAAATCTTTAGTTAATAATATTTCAATGATTTATTCATCTATTAGCAATGAACTCAAACTTTAAGTGATAAACATGGAGATGGGAGATCAAGAAAATAGAAAAAAAAAACCAGAGATATAGACATTTTTATTTATTTTCTGTCCTTCTTAGAGTAAAATCTGTGCACCACTTACAAAAATACCATGCAAGCATGATAAGAATATCATACCAATGATTCTCCAAGATAATTCCCATTGATGATATAACATCTTCTCCCATCATTGTGCATTTTAGGGTATCATTGTGTTTGATATGCAAATCACTGAGCTTTAACTCGCCTAAAGGACCCGGTGAAAGATCGGCTGGGTTCCTGTATAGCAGATTTCCTCGTCATTGAACTCTTTCACCCTGCAAGGCCTCGAAACGTTATCTGATGGCCGAGACGTAGTGGAGACACCTCCAATAAATGGGAATCTTGTTCCCTTTGAGGAAGAACCCACATGTGAGGAAGAAGAGAGCCGTGGTGGCGATCACGATGGCATAGCTGGTGATGTAACTTGGGACGAGTGCTCTCACGAGCATCACCTAAGCATTGGTTGTTATTAGTGATGAGTAAAGGATCATTCAAAAGTTGAAGAGGCTTCTATTGAGGTGAAACCAGTACTTGGTGATTGCGGCGAATGTGAAGCCTTGGATGGTGCAAAACGGGAGATAGACTCGAGGGAGGAGATGACATAGGCCGATGCACGGTAAGCATTGTGGGAGGTTTCTACTTTCTATGATGAAGATGAAACTTTCTTGTATGAAAGTCGGGGGGGAATCGTTGGAGGAGAATATAATATATCATTTAAAATATATAGTTTAAAATTTTATCATACTATCTATATAATTAAATTTAGCGAGCGACTTATCTCTAACCCTAGTTGTTTTTAAGCAACTCTGAGGACCATGCTACCACTGTGAGCTATGTCCTCCACCTTCTCCACCACACTGTAAGCGCTTGTCGAGTTAATACCTGATGTCAATTCATCAAGGAACAATAGAGATGGCTTATGAATGATGTCGATACGGATACACACCCTTGGCTTAATTAAGATATTTTATTTGTATTAGCTTAAAACTCAAGCTGTATATATCAAGTTTAGGGTTACATGTTAATGATGTATAAATCTCATATATGAAAGATGCTGTTTCATGTAGCCTAGTTTGAGGTGTTTCTTGTGTGATAAGATTGGCATCAATCCTAAGGCTAATGGATTTTATACGTGTTAATACAATACAAGCATCGAGATTTGATTGGTAAGGTAGCATTACGCGTTCCATCCATAAAAATGGTGGATATTATCACGGAAGCCGGAGCCTACGTGCACACTTTTGCATATGTCCACCCAAACATATATAAATATGTTGCCCGCTCATAGCCTTATTCACACGCACATTAAACTATAAATTTTGATAATTAGTTTCAATGATAAAATCTTATAATTATACTAAGTTATTTAATTAAATTATAAAAAAATATTAACTTTGAATCCTCTCAAAGAAAAGTAAATGTATATTTTTTTGTCAAAAAAATATAATTTAATATTATTATATATTAAATTATATATTGAAGTTGAATTCAAGATCAGATATATATATATATATATATATATACACACACACTAAAAAAAAGTATAAACTTGTATCGACCTAAATAGAATTTCGTCTTTATTGAATTAAACTCGTTTATTTAAGAAAAATGACACACTAATTACAAGTAAAATTCCCTTTGAATTTATGGGGAAACGAAAGCACAAAATGATGCTGTTCCAAAGTCCCAATTAAATATCACCCCTGAAGAAAAAAATATTAAAATTTAAAAAATAGCGTCGTTTTCGTTTGGTTCAGTGATCTGCCCTCCCAAGGCCGTCTCTCTCTCCCCTGAACCGCCTCTTTGTTGTTAATAATTACAACAGCAGTCCCCTTATGTTTCCTTTTCCCTTCCATCTCACTCGCAATCTTCAAAGCAATTTCCTTCTCGTTTCCTCCGGGAATTCATTTCTCAGTTCTTTGTCTTTTTTAGTTCCCCCCCTAAAGCTTCTCGCATCTTAGATCGGTTTAAGAATTTGGGTTTATTTGTATTTATATATATATGCACTGTGGGACTTGAATGTGTGTTTATTTATGAGCTTTCGATGCGGTGCCCGTGGATGAGCTTTTCCTTCTGTTTCTAAACCCTAATTCCACTACTGTCGATGGCGATCGTCACAGGGGATCGCTACCTCGAGAAGCTGGTTAAATTTGTTGACGAACAAGCCGGGGCTTTGATTGAAGGTACGAAGGTGCTGAAGCTCAACCCGGCTGGGCTCCACTACATGCAATTGCGGCTCGAGGCGCTCCAGGAGCTGGAGGGACTTCTAGCTGGAGCTCCGGTTGACTATTTACGTGCCTACGTGTCGGACCTCGGGGATCACCGGGCCCTCGAGCAACTTCGCCGGATTCTGCGGCTCCTTACGACTCTTAAAGTGGTGTCTGCCTTGACTCCTCCTGCGCGTGACCCCACGCCTCTCTCTTTTCTGTCGTTTGGGAGACTGAAAGTTCTGGAACTCAGGGGCTGCGATTTGTCTACTTCAGCAGCCAAGGGGTTGCTTGAGTTGAGACATACCTTGGAGAAGATTATTTGTCATAATTCAACTGTGAGTTTCTTTGGATGTTTTGCATTTATTACAAGCACAGGGAGAGTTAATTACCTCTTTTAGTTATATACTATTCCTTCTTTTGTTCTCCTAGCGACAATTTAGTAAAATTGCGAATGGACTCTGTAGACAAAATCTTCTCAATTTTTATTTGATGAATAGTAGGTGAACTGGTGCTGGAACTTCACAACAATTCATGGATTTTGTTTGTCCTTTTAAATTATGTAGGATGCTTTACGACATGTGTTTGCCAGTAGAATTGCTGAGATAAAGGGCTCTCCACAGTGGAACCGCTTGTCCTTCGTTTCGTGTGCATGCAATGGCTTGTTATTAATGGATGAGTCTTTGCAGCTACTTCCTGCTGTTGAAACCCTTGATTTAAGTCGAAATAAGTTTGCAAAGGTGGACAATCTTCGGAAATGTGCCAAGTTGAAGCACTTGGACCTGGGATTCAATCACTTGCGATCCGTCTCATCATTTAGTGAGGTAAGTCACTGTGATTATTACTCATGAAATAATGATTTTTGTTTTTTACTTGATGCTAAAAAATTAATAAATTGATGTATATATTTTGTATTGTATTTTCAATTGCATCTACCATCTAGCCTTTTGCCACACAGTACAAAAAGATGGTATTCTTCAGGGAGAAGTTAATGATAGGATTTAAACTATGTGACCCTAAATCCCAAGCTGTTAAATTTTCATTTGTTCAGAAAATGATTGTTGCTGCAATGAGATTGTTACGAAAGATACATGTATATGTGAGAAAACATAGATTAGATTGAAAAAGGTCAAGGTAGCCTCATCACCAATTAAAGTAATGGACACGCCTAAGATGATTTTTACATATGAGACAGTGGAATAACAGTGATTCTGTCAAGATTAATTTCCCATGTCTAAAGGAAGAAAGAATAAATACGACATGGGAGGAAAGTTTAAGAAGAGATCTGGTTCTATATAGAAGAGAACAGTCTAATTTGATCATTGTAGCAGGCTTAGTTTTGGATATTTTAATGCTTGTTTACATGTTTTCTTGTGTACTCCTTGAGGACTTTGGTTGTTCTCTCCTTATTCTTTTCCATTAACACTTTCCCTTATTTATTTACTTTTAAATTTTGAAAGAATAAGCCCTGAATAAAAGAAAGGGGACTTTTCATTTAGCTAAGGTCTATATGTCTATTTAAACATTTACTGGTTTGACATTTATTTAATTGTTTTTCATTTCCCTGAATAAAAAGGGGACTTTTCTTGAACCTTTTTTTGGTTATAATCTCTATGCGTTGCATGTTTTTCCTTCACCAAATATTTTGATATAGGAATTCTATTTGGACAAATACATCATTGTTGATGAAAATTGCAGGTCTCTTGTCATGTTGTTAAACTTGTTTTGAGGAACAATGCTCTAACTACATTGCGTGGTATTGAGAATTTGAAGTCTCTTGAAGGGCTTGATGTTTCCTACAATATTATTTCCAATTTTCTAGAGTTAGAGTTCCTTGCGGTGCTTCCATCTCTTCGAAGCTTGTGGCTTGAAGGGAATCCGTTCTGTTGTGCCCGATGGTACCGTGCACATGTATTCAGCTACTTCAACCGTCCTGAAAATGTAAGTCTCAAGTATCTATTTGCAGATGGAGTTCGGTTGTTAAACTTCTATGCTCCTTTGCTAAAACTTTTCATAGTTTTAGTTTCCATCTTGTAATCCTGCTAATGGTACAGCTCTCCCTTGTTCTATTACATGGTTTGATCAGTTGAAATTAGATGACAAAGAAATCAGCACAAGAGAGTATTGGAAGAGGAAGATTATTGTTGCCAGCAGACAGAAGCGACCTTCCAGCTTTGGGTTCTACTATCCTGCAAAATGCGATGCTGAAGGAGCAGGGTTTATCAATAAAAAGAGGGTGCGTTAAGTTTTAACAATTCTCAATTTTGTAAGCTATTTTAAC